GGAATTAATTTGCTTAACAGTTAAAGCTATTCTTTCCAAAACCATTAAGAATATCTGAATTATTGTATACATCCTAGGTGAAGGCTTTGGTCAGTACTTAATCACACTTAAATATACTACATTTTGATCAAATTACAATCACATTAAAAAGAATATCTATATCGAACAATAAACATCCTGATAAAAAAAAATCAACAAAAAATATTATTTATCAACAATATAGTTTCAATAAATGCAACGCATAAAAATATTCAAATTTCTATAAGCTCAACATGCATTTGAATACAAAAAGAGAGCAAATTAATAAGACTACTGTATATACACCTTTTTAAGCTAATACACAATGTTTCATTATGCTATTTATAATGATCAAAAAAATTGTAACCATACAATAGTTAGATTACTCTTTATGTCAGTATTAAAAGCCACTGTGAAGCAATGTATGCAAAGTGTCACACTGTAAACTATCCTCATTGAACAAATGTGCTTTGATAAAGATTCACCATTTGTCACAGAAGAATTGATGCCACACTTTTTTATGGTCACTTAATATGAATTACAGACACCTGTTAAACACTGTAAGGTAACCAGTATATTCACATCTTCTATTAAACAGAATGGCAGGGTACATAGAAATACATTTATAAACACAAAATGAAGAATTTTTCAAGAAAACAGATCTTTGTCCCATATATCCAACTAGAACTAAAGTAGTTATCTACCATCATAACATTTGAAGTATTTCCTAGTTTTGTGACTTAACACAATCCATTTTCATCCATTTAGAGATTTTCAGTATATCATTTTAAGGTTAGCTAACACTCACCACATTTTAATAAATGTTGACTTGGTGACTGAATATAAATGGAATATTCTGTGTTGCCTTCCTCATTTTAAAAACACATGTAAAATGACAATTTGATATTTGCACTCTGGCGTTATAAAGTCATCAGCTAGAACACAAAATAAAAGACTGATCAGTGATTTAAATGTCAAAACTGTGATGTTTCTGAGCCCTTTGAAGATCAGCAGGGAGGACTGTCAAGGCACTGAAGCAGAACTGTGCTATCCTTGTCCCAGTGAGCTGGCAACTCTACAGAATTTCTAGGTTTCTTTAAATAACCAACTTCTGAAGAGCCACGAGCACTTGTTAAAAAGGTCCAGATAAGCCAATAATGAGCTACTTCAGGTCAGTAAGAGTGGAGTTACAAAAAAAACCTGCATTCTTCAAGAGCAGGACTGGAGGCCCTTGTGCTAAGCACAAGTCTCCGTGTTATCTTCACACCTACAAGTCCCAGGGCAGGCTTTTCGACTGATGATTTTTTTTTAATGACGTATATCACAGCTGCACAACCAGAGCATACGAATTATGTACATAAACATTAACTGTTTCAAAGTACTTTCGATTTCAGAACAACAAAAGCAATAGCACCACATAAGGGGAAATGGAAACGGGCAAGAAACACAACGCAATATGAAAAGCAAATGCGGATGGCTGGCATCAGTTCCAGCTGTAACATTCAAAGACAGCTCCAGAATGTCATCTCAAAAGGCATCTTTGAGCTTCTGCCCATTATCAGAAAGTAAAAACATTTTTTCTGGAAAGCAATTCTATGGTCATTTTAGAAAAAGAGGCAGGTGGCCATGTACTCTACCTGACCACTGGTGTCTTAGCAGGATGCTTTTAGAACACAAAAGCACAAACATATAGCTCTAGAAGCATTCTGCCAGCAGATACATTAGATCAATCTAATTACAGCTCCTTGATTATTTTCACTTACCAGTCTGAATATCTTTCCGAAGAATCAAAACACAGCCGGTTTAGTAGTTGATCTGACTGTGCCTGGAGGACTTTAGCTATACTCCCACTTTTCAGGCCTTATGCGAATATTTAGATGATACAAGAAACACAGTCCTATGTGTACAGAGAAAATTTCATTTAAAACCGAAAATAGACTGCTTTAGAGTTCCAAGGGTGAAGGAATATTCCTGTGACGGAGTTACACCCCTTTAAAACACTCAGTCATTTCCGAGATCTTAAACGACAGTAGGAAACAGTCAAGGATCCCATTTCATCTGTCCGAGTAAGCAGCCAGTACATTAAAGACAGAGTTATATTAAGACTTATAAATTAAACTTGCACTATGCTCTCTGATAACCACAACCATTTGTGGTAAAATGATTACCCAAACGCTCAGTTTGAAATGAGAAGTTCATTCTTGCAGTATGAGTGGGTTACCTTGTACACTAATTCAAAATTATGATTATTCTCCCCCCACACACAGCCCAGGCACATAAAACACAGTTTTCCAGAATAATAAATATTAAAACATCTTACAATGGAAATCACACAGCTAAAAGAGGACATCTTATCTTTTTAACCAATTTCAAATTGTTGATATGGTTGAGAATGAATACGGTTGAGCACTGGAGTCACTTAATCATCGTGTATAGTGGATAAGAACAACAAAAAGAGAGCAATTCAAGAAGAGCTAGAAATAAATCTAAGAATATTATAAAATCAAAGACAACCTGACCTTGAAGCGGTTTATTGAAGCATACAATATCTTTTTCCCCAATTTTTAGGCTAATTAGCTAAGCGAACCTTGTGCAGCCAGTCTTAGCTTTGGCCACAACCTCCTTGGCAAACAAGAGCTTTAGACAGTGCTTGAAATACAGCTGCCTCCGGTGCTCGTAGGCTTCGAAATGGAAAAGTTAGCAGCCTGGAGAATGGCACAGCTAGGAGCTTTCCCGGGTGAGGAATGAAAAGGAAATCCGGTTGGCAGCCCACTAGGTGCTGGGCATGGCGTTGTTCAGCTTCAGAGACCCCTTGGAGATGTCCGTCTGCATGGTGGACATGCCGATGTTCTCGTAGTCCTCCTGCGTGGCGGCGCACCTGCAGTGGCGCACCATGAGGTTGAGGTCCTTCTGGAAGTTCTTGTTGAGGAACCCGTAGAAGACGGGGTTGATGCAGGTGGAGATCATGGCCAGGAGGTGGCAGAGGGTGAAGACCAGGTTGTGGTGGCAGTTGGGCAGGGCCTCGTGGTTCCAGTCGAAGATGATGTTGAAGATGTTGAGGGGCAGCCAGCAGATGGCGAAGGCCACCACGATGGACACCAGCATGGCGTTGATGCGCTTGCTCTCGCTCAGCCGCGTCTCGTTCTCCCGCAGCCGGTCCACCAGGCCGCTGCGGCGGCGCAGGCACACGAAGATCTTCAGGTAGCACACGAAGATGAAGCCCAGCGGGGCGAAGTACTGCACGGCCAGCAGGCAGGTGGTGAAGGCCAGCCGGTCCCTCTCGGAGGGCCAGGTGTCTTTGCAGGTGTACTTGTCCTTGTAGAAACTGGAGTGCAGGGTGATGTCTCGGAAAGGCTCGTCCGTGAGGTGGTAGAAGATGAGGAAAGGGACGGAGAGGGTGGCTGAAGCCATCCAGATGAAAGCGATGCCCCAGTAGGCGTGGGAGATATTGGGCTTCCAGCCCCTGGGGTTGACGATCAACTGGTACCGCTCAATGGCAATCAGGACCAGGGAGAAGCTGGAGACGGAGACCGACACGCACTGCACAAAGGAGCTGACTTTGCACATGGTCTCCCCGAACACCCAGTGGTCCATTAGCGTGTAGACCACCGTGAAAGGGACACACATGACGCAGATGAGCACGTCCGACACGGACAGGTTCGCGATCAGGATGTTGGTGACGTTGTGCGTTTCCTTCTGCCGCTTGACGATCGCGATCAGGCAGAGGTTGCCGAAGAGGCCCACGATGGTCACCACGCCGTAGCCGCCCACGAGAAGCAGGAGCATGTAGAGTGAAGGGTGGCAGTCGTAATCGGAGAAGCGGGGCTTCCAGCTGCCGCTGCCGTTGCCCAGGCTGGCTGCGGTTCTGTTGGACAGGCTCCCGTTGGTGCCGGGCAAGGGGTCGGCCATCGCTAAACAGGCAATTACATCATCTCCTGCACCGAGGGGCTGCTGGGTCCTAGCAGCTGATGATGCCCCATAATCCCCAGGGCAACAGGGCTGGCTTCTGTGATTCTTGAGCCGATAGCGGAGGGGTCACTTCCAGTCTCCCGCTCGTCTCTGATGAGATGACATCACTCGGGCCTTCTCCTTTCACGCTACAGCTCCAGCTTCTTCAGCCAAACAGTACCTGTTGGCGCAACAGCGGAAGGTGAATATCGAGGTGCAAGTAAATTACGTAAGAAGGAGATCAAGAAGGGGTGAAATGGAAATGGAACGGTGTGTGTGGTATTCTTTCATTCGAAACCTACGGAGTTGATCTTTTTTAGGACTACAGATGCTACACGGATGATAACGGGGGTAAGATGGCTATTTTCAGTCGGGTGTAATAATGAGATTTCGTTTCTCAACCTTTTTTTAAGTGTCATTGGCGGAATGTCACTGGGGAAAGCCGAAACTCTTGGCTAATGCTGCTTTTCAGTCTTTCTAGGTTTGGGATTGTTTGTTTTCAGGTATGCATGCTCCTATTCCAAAAGTAAAAGAGAAAACTGCTATAACAATTTAAATGGGACTTTTTTTTTCCTTCAGAAAGAACACTAATTAGTACCTCTGAGAAAATTATGTGCAGAGTGTAAAGGTCAGGGGAATTAAAGACTGTTTCAAAAACCTCTTGCTGAGGTTATGTAAAGAGTAGGAATTTAAATTGCAGTGAAAGAGATAGCTAGGGGAGAAATGAAGCTACGATTTTTTTTCTTGTAATACTTTAAGTCCAATTAATTTTGCACTGCACAGGGGGCTCACTGTAACGTAGTAGCTTTTTAAACCACTAGAGGACAATGTAAGCACTATGCATGGGTAGCCTTTACTTTAACCAGGTGGAGAATCTCAGAAGGGGTCTCTCAGTTTGACCATCTGATATGACAGGAGTCACCACAGAAGCGATTGCTGGTGATCCAGTGCTCACCCATCGTCGAGGAAAACTACTGAAGCTATTGGTTATAATATGTTTTACAGGTTGGGCTCTTAATCCTAAATTAGTAGATTAAGTTAGTTATCACAAGGTAGTAGATAAATTACTACCTGATGGTTTTCTTTTCCGAAGAACACTTGTCCTCTCTGGTGTTTTTTTTTTTAATGATCAACTAAAGCACAGTAAATACACAGAAATTACACTTCATCCTTGGAAGAACTTGCATTTTTCCTAAGGCAGGACTAGATTACTTTCATAGGACACCTCCTCTTTTGATTAAACTTGAACGTCTAAGCACGCTTGTTCCCGTGTCAAAATCCGTTTTTTAAAGTTTGTTTTCCAAGCAACGGTAAATTACTGAACAAGAGAACATTCCAGGAGGCAAGCGGTCACACATGCAGTAGACAAACTGATACCTGGCAAATTTCAAGAAAGAACAAGTCAGTTCATCTTAGTTATGAATGAAATGTCCTGTAACATTTCCAATGATATATTTACACCTTTTAAGTATTTATTTCAAATTGATTTGTCACAGGTTTGTATTGCTCTTTTTGACAGAATGTGGCAGGAATCTGATGTTTTATGCATACGATTACTACAGGATTTAGTGGAATGAAAAGCCTTGTGTGCCAAGATCATTTATTACACAGTAATGATCATCTCTTAATACTTTTAAATAATGCTCATTTACCATCAGTTCACAATTATTGCTGTTCATGTATAATTAATCTTAATTTCTGCAGCACCTCCAAGTTCTCACAGTATTCAATGGAGTTTGAATAAATCTTGTGGCAAAATAAATTGGGTCTTAAATAAATAAACAAGTTATGGTTTTGGCCCTGTACATGCAGCAGATTACAGTGTAACTATATGAATTATATGGAAATAAATATCGAAGGTTGCTGTTGGAGGAACAGTATCAGCCCTCTAAGGCTGATCTGTCTCAGGGATTCAGCGCAGGTTAAGTCGATAATGAAATCTAGTAATATTAATATCTTGTAATATTGATTAGTAGTCAGAATATGGGAGAGCGTGCATTCTTAAGACGAATAAGCAATAAAAATGAAATGGTTATAAATCAGTCAAGTTCTTCAATAAATCAAAACAAATAGGTCCCTTCGCTATTGCTGTTGGTGCTTGTACTACTGTTGTCAATCCAAATATTTATTTAATACTTTTGAGCAAGTCCGAGATGGGTTGGGGGGGAACTGCATTCAGAAGAACCAGTATATTTTAGGTCACTAAAGAGAAATTATTTGTACTGTGCAATAGTTTTTACAGCAGCAAAACGAATACTTTAAGGGGCAAAAGGGATAAAGGAATACCTTTAAAACAACCATTATTAAAAACCTAAGCATTACCAAAGTACTACGATACAGAAATGTGATGAAATGCCTGTAATGTAACACACTATCTCATTCGATATGTGCAAGTTATAGTAACTGCGAACCTGAGCCTTTTCCTCATCTCTGTCATATTCCTTCATTCAGAGCCTTGTACTAAACATAGCAAATCTAAAGGTAATGCACGCACAGGTAGTGGAACAGTTAAAGGGGCGCGCAGGCACACGCAGCTTGTGGAGGGTACACACGCCAGATGTCACTTAAGAGAGCTAAGTTCCGAAGCAAACCCAGTGGTTCTCCCTCCTTCCCTGTTCACACGTGTGTGTCATTAGGTGAGGAGGGGAAAAAAGCCAAGCAGAGAGTCACTTACCACTCGTGCGGGTCAGACTTCCAGAGACAGGCAGAAAAAAAGCGAACTTCACATTTTTAATTGCATTTAATAAAAAAAATAACTACTTGGCTACCTAAAAACTACTGCTGAAATATTCACCAGGTATCAGACTCTGTAGTACCCATGCAAAATGACAGGCAGCCACCTACACTGCAAACCAGAAGAGGGAACAGAGTCGGTTCACGCCGGGTTTTGCAGCGGAGCTGAGGAGCCTTGACAGGGCCGGAGGTACAGAGCCGGGCTACGGAGAACCATTCTTAACCAGCTGCAGCATCAGCCGCACAAAGCCCGAGAAAACAGCTGGCAGGCGGGGCTTGCGGTGTGCTTGCACCAATCAGGAAAGAGAAGAGTCTGGAGGAGGCGTGGTTGGGGTGGAGAAGAGGGGCCAGGAGGGGCGCAGAGGTGGCCGGAGAGATCCTGTTCTATAAGGAGTTTGCCGAAGCTTGCCGGTCACACCTGTGCCAGCAGCCGTCCTGAGGCCTCGGCACCCCAATGGATGGCTCGCATGAACTCGCGTTACCTGCGTCTGTGCGATATTAGGGTTTTACATCCTGTTGTTTTGTTGGGTGACATCTAAATGGAGCTGCAATGTGCAGTCAGGTAGTAAGACTAACGAGTGAGTCCGAATCAAGAGAATGCGTGTAATTCTTAAAACACCCTTCCATCATTTGCAAGGCAGAAAAACATATTTACAAGTGGTCCCTTGTGTCCTCCAGGAAGTGAATCTGAGACTCCTTTTCTTTTATTATAGGGGGCACTTTAATTAATTATATGCCTATGGGACACGATACAACCAGTTTGCATGACAACCTAAGAATGAGTTTCATAACATGCATTGAACAAGTTTAATTTTTTTGTATACAGTCCAAACTACAGTTTATTATAACTCAGCAAAAAAGTATGCCATCACTCCCAGTGGGTATATAAACAGGTGTTTAATATTCTAAAACAAACTTCTTACTTTTCTACTTAATTCTTTGTGACCGGTTCCCAAACCAAGATTTCCTATAAAACATACTTCATTTTCAAGTGCATATCTTTTATGATCCTGGTATGATTTTTCTGACTTGATATGATTCTGCAATGTTTATAGAGATAGAATAAGGGTGGTCTATGTTTCTGTCAAAGATGAACTTTTACAATTAAAATAAAAAACTGAAAGCACAAAAGTAACAATTATTTGTTATTATTATTATTATTATTATTATTATTAATAATAATAATAATAATAATAATTGCTTACACTTATATAGCGCTATTCTGGACAGCCCACTCAAAGCGCTTTACAGGTAATGGGGATCCCCTCCACCACCACCAATGTGCAGCATCCACCTGGAAATTGAATTTTAAGGGAGTACCACAGTTCCAGCGGATTTGGGCAGCAGAATTGTTTTCTTAGTCAAGTTACTGACATGTGACAAAAATGTAAGATTTTAATTCTACCTTACAGAGTTCACTAAACAGCAGATAAAGACTTTGTCCCTCTCCAAATTACAAAGTATACCCCATTATGATCTCCTCTCTCTCCATTAAAAATATTGAATTTTGGACAAGCCATTTCAAATGGTGATGCTAGAGGCCCCTCTGTTCTCAGTACATTTTGCCTCTTTTTTTCCCCCTGTGAACCACACAGAAGACACACAGAGAACGACGTGTCCCGGAGCTGAGTAATTCCTTTCTTTGATCTCTCAGGGGCTGTCTCATTTCTGCTTCATTAGGGCAGAGATCTGTCACTCAGATCCAATACTGCCGTGTGTGTTTCTTGTCTTTATGACTGGTATTACACTCCTAGTCCTTCCCACTTTTACAAATACAATTCAAAAATCTTGTTAGCAAATTTTCTGTTTGCAGTGTCCAATTTTTATAAGCCGATACAGTTCACCACACATGCTATGAACACAAACAGTATTCGGCAGGCAGAGGAGTGACTTTGTTTCTGTTTAAAACACTATTATATGTGCATGTGTATAAATGTGCTGTTTGGCTCATAAAACCTATTCCATCCCTCTCTCCACCAAGATATTGTCGTAGACAAATCATGTTGTCATGGTCTTCATCCCTCCTCTAGGTGGCACCCCTACCTCCTTCGGTACTGATTCCAGTTTCTTTATCCCCAGCTGTGTCTTGTCTCTTTCGTGCTATGTAAGCTGGGCGTCTCTGTAATCCCGGGCTCAGCACTGGAAGACGGACGACCGAAGGCCCGCCTACCACCAGGCCGGGAGGCAGCCTGAGGGCGTAGGCCTTCACCCCGGCGTCCTGACCACTGACCCCTGGGCTCGGAGCACCTGGTCCCGTTAAGGTTTGATTTTTCGTGTTCCTGGTCTAGGCTCCGGTCCCGAAGATATTGCCCCTGTCTATGTCTTGGATGGATCTCCCGGTTCTCGGATCACGGACTGTGCCCAGATAATCCCTTTTTGGACCTGCTTGGACCTGCTTGGATCACTGTTTCTGCCCACTGTGCGTCTCCCCTGATGTCCTCCAGATTATAGTGCTGCACGTAGGGTCTTCAGTACAACACACCCCACGGGAGTCTGACCCGGCTCTGTTTGTACTTCACAGCACCTGCTCTTTCCTGCCACACTAAGAAGCATTTTCTTGATTGAATTTTAAATGATCACCTAATGTAAAATACAGAAAAAAACAGGCGTGCAGTTTTTGGAGTGTATAATCAAAGCGAAGTTAATTGCGGCAAGAGTTCAGCAAAAGACAGTGGTGGAACAGGAACTGAATTTGTGTTGCAATATCCGAGTTGAATTGAATCTGACCTCTATTCTAGATTACATAACTTGCAAACGAAAGTTATGTTTTTTTTACATAAAGATTTAAAAATGTGAATTTTTAATAGCAACATAAGTTAAGATCTTTTCAAGGAATAAATATTTCGCACGTTTGTTTAATAATAATGTATTATTACAGTCTTGGCCCTTTTATATATCTAGATACAAGCAACAAAATGTCTTAAATCATGTTTCTGAAATCAACATGTAAATGGTTTCCCTGGCATAATTACGACATTTAGTGTTTTGGCCCACATTGTAACAATGCAGCCTCTCATAATCCTCTGGAATGGGTCTTATTTTTGTAATGAAATTATAAAGAAAGTAGCAAAAATGTCATCTTTTTCGCCATATGCAAGAACATAAAGGACATCGCGCCGTTATTCATACACTTAAAACAACGTCTACCGACAGAAGAAATGTTACTGGTCAGTAGCTACACCCTGTGGTAACAAAGTGTATTGCACCACAATGAATGGAAACTCCCTTTCTGTAACAGCTGGTACGCTAGTTCAGTTCAGTTTATTTGTCATATGCACAGGTGCCATGAAATTATTTGCATGTTACTCAGATACAGAGTCATTAAAGAAACACCAAAACATAAACACAAAACAGCAGCGGCAACAGCAACAACAGAGTCAAACAACATACAACTTAAATACAAGTCAGCACAAGCGAAAAACAGAAAAACAAACGTCAGTGTGAGTCAGGGGTAGGGTTAGAGCGAAGATTTTTGTCCTGTTTTTGCTTGTCGGTGGCTTGTTGACTGATTCTAAATCCTCGTCAAACCATGAACATAACTGGGCAATATGTCCCCCTGTTTTACTGCACCTACAGATACCTGTTTTTTGGCCAGTTCTGTTAATAGTAACTGTAGCTGCGTGTATTCCTTTAATATAACGGGATGCTAATTCTCTCATAATCCCACATATATTTTGAGCAGTCGGTTATACAATATAAGGTTGCTGATAATTTCCTTGTCGGAGATGAAGTACTGAAAAAAAAACCAAGGTCACTGCTGTTATTTCCTGTGGACTTCAAGATTGACAAAACAAGAATCAGTGTTTCAGTAGATTAAAATGTTTCTGATTTATCTCATTCTCACAATATATGTAGAACAAACATAACAAGGACGCCGGTGTTACTTTATGTAAACTGGATAACAGAAACAAAACAAGCAACAGATGGCTTCAGTATCTGTCTGCTGATAAAAAGCACCTGTTTTCGCCTGACAATCGACACTCGCACTACATTGAGGGTATTCTGAAATGATCCCTATTCCTAAAAAACAACGTCAATTAACAGATGTGCTCATTAAAGTACTTGTAATAATATATATTATTGAATATTATTTAGAGCTACAGAATTAAATAAATCACCATACGCTTCGTTAATGCGTTTTTACATATGGAGTAAAATGTTAATCCTCTTTTTTAAACGTACTGTCCTGTATATGTTTGGTCTCGGTTTTTTCCTCTCAAAACTAGAAGAAAATGTTCTCATTTTAACCATCAATGACCTTTTTTTAGGATTCCAGAACAATTTTGCAATTGTTGTCGGATAAGGGCGTCTGCTAAACATAACAAATTATAATAATAAGGTCAGGAACCCGCAATGACACAACCCCCCCTCCTCCCTTGCTCAATATAGTTTTGTTTCTGAAACATCTTAGGCCACGCAGGTGAGTGGGCAGCTGTGATTGTGCAGTATCCACCCAGGTAGAGGTCTGGGGTGTCAGCTCTGTAAGATCCTCAGTTATCATCAGGGGTGATCGGAGTTGCCAATGTTGATTCAATACGGCATCCACACGTTATTTGAAATGCCGTGTCTTGTTTTGAAAGCCCCACAGTGGCGGCTGGCGAAGTTTTCCTTTTCAAAAGCGCGAAGAGAAATACCCCTAGCGTCTCTCCCGCACCCTGACTGCACTCCCCGGCGTGCGCGTCTCCGATACAGATAGCGCGCCGCTCTGGTCTTTCAGGATGTGTAGGTATTTTGACGCAGTTTCTGCCGTGCACAGGAGAAAAAAAAAACTCGATGCATGCCTTTAAGTCTTTTAACTCTTTATTCGACTCACGTATTCCGTATCATTGCAAGCATGTTGCCAATAACATTTGGGCAGACCCTAGTTGTCGTCACCGGACACCACGGCAGCTGGTGCAGACATCCACTCGACTCGACACCCTGTTGTAACTCATAAGGTAAATGGTGACGTCAACAAAAACAAGGTCAATAACAGTATAGGGATGACATTTATCTCAATGTAGCGGATCTCAATCTTTCTGGGACCCGAGTTGAAAACGGCCGTGCTACTGTACGTTGTTGAACGCTTGTGATCCGGTGATGACGTCTGAAGCGTTCTCGCAATGTGGAGAAACACGCTTTTCAGGGGCAGGTTTGTAGTCATTCCACTTCCTTTAGAGAAAAGATACGAAGACTTATTCCCCCCGGTCTGTCTTTTAGTGTCGTCTAAAAGAGTGAGTGACACGAACCCTTGACACGAAATGTTGTATCTTCGCATGAAGCGAAGAATGACACGGAGGCGGGTGTGTAACAGTGAACGATGTATTAAAGAGAAGTTCGTTTGTACGGCACATTACACCGCCGATGTGACACCTTTCTCACGCTACCTTCCTCCAGCTGCCCCCCAGTTCTCTCCAGGTTTCTCAATATCTTTCTGGCGCCAACACCATAACATCCGGATGACTCCTAAAGCCTTGGAAACTGGGCAGAGCCACCTGATGGACTATTACATGTAATTACAACATTTATACATTCTTACGTCACTTTACTACAGAAACCTCGTCGCCATCCGACGTGCGGCGGTATGTAAAGAGCTGGAGCCGCAGAGCTCGTATAGTTCAATATCTTACATGGTTTTTTATGTATTTGCCGCCACATCAACATGAATATTTTTCCGTCTTACACGAGAGTATCACAAAAGAGCCACCGTGCTTTTCATACTGTACATACTGTCACTGTACGTCTACAATACGATTCCTACAATGCCTGATGCAGTTGATTTGAATTTAGGCAGTCTTCGCTGACAAGTTGATGTGCGTCACTCTTTCACCTGCCTTTACTGTGTATGATGTGTCTCATCATGCTCTGCATACCTGCATGCCTAAACCTTACTTTTTCCACGAGTATGAGGGGTTTTCCTACAGGTGTGGGCTGGATATACTGGGCAAGTGAGCAAAGTGGCTAAATCAGGGCAGCCATTGTCTTAATTTGTGTTTAAAGCATAAAACACAGTGCTTACCAGATGATCCTGCCAAACAACTGGCACACATCTGAATGGCCTTAACAGTCCCTGGCATGTGTGTCTCAGGCAAATATAACTTTGCCCTTCGACGCTATGTTAATCAAACAGCTTGTAATATCCAGTAAGGAACTGAAGTGATGAAAGATGTTTTGGCAATTATGAGTAAATCCTTCAGATGAAAGGATAAAATGAAAGAGGTTTGTGTTAACGTGTCTGTTTTTATTGCTTAATCCAGAGACAGTTTAGTAGTTTCACTAACCCTGGGGGTGGGCTTGCAATATTAAATTTCACTGGCTGATAACAAAATGATCTCTTAGGGATTCCTAATCGTGATCCTGGGACTCATACACCTGCCTGTTTTTGTTCCACCTGAGTACTCAGTTATTTAATTTAACCTTTTAGAGGTCCAATAATAGATTTAATTTGAATTCTCTGCTTATTGTCAGTTCCTAAACATGCAGGATGTTGCTTTTTAATTATTACATTTATTAAATAACTTAAAATATCTTTAATAAAGCACTGAGTAGAAAAAAACTTGCAAAAGGTATAAATAAGCAAGCTGTTGGTTAAGTTCAGGATTCAGTTCAGTTAACAGCTCAGCTCAGTCATAGTGCTCAATATTGAGACATTTCAGAAACATACACAGATTCTGGTCTCTTGATAAATGATTATATTAATTAAATGTATGACTGGAAAAATGTGTGATTAAAGAGTCTTAATGTCTAGTAGTCTCCTACATTGCTAAAAAATTGGTGTATCAAAAATACTGCAATTAAAGGGTCAATAATCTCCATTCTTTCCTACTGTGCTTTGTATGAGGAAACTCTGCAGCTGATAAAGACTGACGGTAATGTAGAAACTTTCCAGTGCAGAGGTTAAAAAGCCTTGCTCTCTGAGTAAATCTGACTTGAGCATGTTTGAGACAATCACTATCAAAGCACGAAACCCCAGGGAGAGAAATGTAACACCAGCATTGTCCAAGATGTATTTTTGCTTATCTTGAGTGTTTATCAAAATATCTATTTGCAGGGAATACAAATGGAGAAGATGAGAAGTCTTTTGAACAATTAGAAAACATTTGCCATCTTTTAATAGGGAGCACCAGTAGAAAACACAACAGATGATCCAGTGTTTTGGATAAAGCACTGAAAAATAACAGTTTTTCCATTACGTGTGAAAGCCAAAGATGAAGGGCCAGATTCAATCAGCTTTTCTCCCAGAAAGACTCCCAGCAAATCAAAACAACAGCATTCAGTAATTGAGGGAGAGACACACCCTCTCAGATTCATATCTGGGCGTCATTTATCGTTGGCAGTGGATGAGATGCCAGTTGATGTTATGTGACACAGGGTCCTTGTGAAACAGCTGTGGGAGCCAGAAATCAGATAAACATTTTATTGCCTAAGTTCTTCCTGAAGGGCCTTTACATTCCCCTGCTTGAAACTCGTTTGTTCCAGTGGGAGGCTAACAAAATGTTTTGCTTGGTTTTGAATGAACTCATCCTGGTTAGTTCGCCTTTTATCAAATGTAAGATTCTCCCAGGGACTACACAGTTCTGAATGCTACTGGGGGCTGTCACCACACACTGCGGTTTGTTCTTGATGTAGGAAGCATACAGGGAGGTTGCAGTGTCTGGATATTTTTGAGAAAAGAGGCCACGAATTGGCTGATATGATGAGGGGTGTGCGTGTGCTCTTTCTAAACACAAACTCCCCTGTCATACCACAGCTTGCGCAGTGAACAGGTCAAGGTTATCTGACAAAACATGCCCCCCCGATTAATGAATCATACCAGGGGAGAGTTGTGACGCACATTTCATTTTTCAAAGCGGAATGGTTTACTCAAACATGCGTCTTTACATTCTTGAGCATGATCTAACGCTACAACACGACACTTCCTTAAAATGATTTAATATTAAGATTAATTAAGATGCTGGATTTTCATGTGTCATTTCTAATTTCACAAACTGCATTATTTTTGGTAAAGTATCAAAAGATAGGATGTGAAAATATATAAAATATGAAACAAAAAAATCTAAAAATACTCGAACTTTAGAAAGTGACAGCTCCTTTATAAACAATTTCCAATTAGAATTCTATCTAGTTCCTGTGGGGAATGAACTTCTATGGATCTTTGAAGTAACCCTGTTGGCACAATTCCGTGAATACCGTATATCAGGGCACACAGAGATACACACGCCAGGGCCGATTTCCCTAGACGCTCATAACTACCACTATGGCTTTGGACTGTGGGAGGAAAACAGAGCATGTGAACCTGGGGAAAACATGCAAACTCCACAGACACAGCACTCCTGGTCCAGAACTGGGCCCAGGGCCCCAGTGCTTCAAGTCAGCAGTGCTAAGTCATGTCCATAAACAGAATTCTGTTGAACTGTTGAATTCTGTTGAACTGTATCACAATTGCTAAACTACATAAAAGATCTAAACTTCATGGCTTTAGGTTTAAGGTGAAGGAACTATACTGGGAGACATCATCACCATATGCAGCTGTAAGTCTGGGTCATGAAGGTAAACTGCCTCCATAAGGAAGAACTCTCTTGTGTGAATTTGTATAAAGGAGAAATATCTATTCATCAGTATTTCTGTCTTTAAACAAAGCAATGTTTACTTTAAATTCAGTGTTTCGGTTTTCAGAATAAGGTGCATATAATTTGGTAGTGTACTCACCCTCTTCTTTTTAAAATAGTTTGCCTCTCTATGTCAGGATTTATACAAGGGAAATAAAGTGAATACAACGTAACAAAAGAGATTATATATTTGCTCTGCTTATATTACCATGCTCTGCCTGCTGTGTTTTCTTGTGATATTCTGATCAGTCCTACTGTTTACCACTTACTTGTTCCGTTGATCATTAACTACGTTTAGATAAGAACACCCACTATACCTTATTTTATTTCTGTCCAGAGGTAAATTCCTATTTTTATGTTTAACGCCTGTACTGTTGCATTAATGTAGCATTTGCTGACCAAAACTGAATTCCATAAAAGCGCCGCACAAAAAAATCAAGTGCTCGCACACAGTAGGGAACGTTTCTTGCCTTCTTGCAAAATTTCAGAGCCCTTTCATGGACTCATTCCTCAAGCCTTAAAGGCCATATATACAGGCCAAACTATCACATGAGCTTCTGTTTGCGTCTGAAAACAATTGGAAATGCTGAATAGAAATCATGTGTGCATGTTAAGACATAATAGTACAAGACCAACAGTATAGAGCTGAATGAGATGGGGTTTTTTTTCTGCACACTGGGTGGGGAAAGGGGTGTGAAGATTAACGAGACCTACTTAAAATCATCTCTAATTCACCAATGACAGATTTGTTTGCACCACCCCCAGAAGAACTCCTGGTAATCGCAGCCTGCACTACCTGGTACCTAAACTAAGCGTGGTGTGTTTGAAAATGGATCAAAAGATTTGTAAACGTCTGTTGCAGGCTACGGCAGTTGCTGTTTTTTAAAGCGCTGGACTATTTAAAACAACTTAAAAATAAATTCTAACCAAGGGGAGACCACATGGCAACGTTGTTGTTTTTTTTACGTCACCGATTCTCACATCAATACAAACACTTCTGGAGTGCCTGACAGTTTGATTCCCTGCGATACAAGTGAACAGATCGACAGTTCGTACTTGTCTGGTTAACAACAGCAGTGTTTAGGGTTATTCTGAAAAACTCTGATACATGTTGGCCAAGAGACTGATTACATCTGTACTAGAACTTCCGCGTTGTAATGTTCCTTCATCAGCAGTACGTTTACTTTACGAATTAAAAACACGGGTTTACTTTCAGGTTATCTGGGTAGCTACGACAGTGGTCGAGATTATCTTTGAGGTGTGGACACCAGCAGATCCTAAGGAGATACTGAATGAATCGGAACTGCTCTGGAAAGGCGCATTGCAACACACCGGAGAAAGAAAAGACTTACACGTGGGAGGTCCACTTACGCACCCAGACGATCCCAATCTGTAGTCAACAGTTTGAACAGTGATAATTGAGGGGGTGGAGACCTGTGACGAAGCTGAATAAAACGACACACGGTTTAGAGTTGTAGAATATTTTAGCAGTCGAGAGGTCTGACTTTGACTCATTACTTCCACCATGCAGACGACTACTCGCCTTTTCGTGTTCCTTGCGGCTGCTTTCTGCTTGGCCGGTGAGTTGATATGTAAATGTGAGCCCATTGGAGCTAATCGCAAGGGTATTGACGGCTTTCCTGGCTCTGGGATCTCACAATCTTCTTTCTAATCCCGCTTCAGACCCAGCTATGGGCTATCTCGAAAGCGGTTATTTGCGTTTCTGATGGTTTGTATTTTAACGAGCCTCATGAACAGCGGGTAGGTGCCCCCTTTTTTTTTCGCCGTCTGTCCGGGATCAGTAAACTTGTACGTCTGCTGGACCTTTGGAAACTGGTGCTTCAATTCTCTCAAATTAAGGAGAGCAGCAGCTGTTCTAGTGCCTATTGCTCAGGCTTAGCAGGCTAAATAAAAGCAGTTGTATCCAATTCAGTAGCCCCTAGCTGTTAATGTTGTTTGTACCAGAGTCTCTCAAAACTAATCGCTCTTGATCGTGGTTGCTTTGATTTACATTGTGTATTTGTATTTCCGAAATGCTGTAACACGGTAGTACAGTTACTTGGCGTGACAGCGCAATTACTGTTACGTTGTGCAATTGCATTACAAGTGTTGCTTGTACGCCTTTCTCGAATAACGCTTGCTCTGAGAGGTTTCTCAAATGTGACGTCCTGTTTTAATGTGAGCAGGGTCTTCAAAATGTCACGTAGTACTAGGGGAAGTATTTCGAATAGAAAAACGAATTAAAATGTTCCGTTACCGAGCGGTGGATCCTTGTAATGCTCGTGTTTTGTTTTTGTTTTTTAATTTTGTAGGTCTGGCAAGAGGAGCCTCCATTCCCAGTGGAGGAACACCAGTAAGACTTTTTTTTCCCAACCCCCCGCTTGTTAAAATTCAGTGCGATAAATGAGTTCGGTGACCCACAACCTTCCTCTCCACAGCCCGATTGTGGCCAGTACATGATTCCTGCGTGCCCCCGCAACTTTGATCCGGTCTGTGGTACCAACGGAGTCGCGTATGGAAACGAGTGCATGCTCTGCGCGGACAACATGTGAGTACAGTATATCCGTGCCATCTATTTAGTAAAAACTTTATTTTCGTCATCTGCGCTCTGTACAAAGCGCTGGCACAGTGACACGCAGTTGCTTGCTCTTGTCTGTCGTATGAAACGTTTATGGGGACAGGTGAAGATTCAGCGCGGAATGGAAAGGTCCTGCACCTGAAGAAGGTTTCCACAGTCAAAACTTTCTTTACTTTACCTTTCAGTGCGGAATGAACCTCTTACCTGTCCCTTTTGCACTTATAGTTCTCTCCGGGAAAGGCTTGTTGACGGGTTTCCGGTTTGATTTCCAGTGTTGCTGTAATCCAGTCTAACCCTTTTATCGAAGTCTAGTCACTGGCCTGAAACACACAGGGTGCATCTCGCACGCACGGGCTTCCGGGATAGCTTCGTCATTGGTGTTACAACTGAGCAAAGCCCATCCTTGTCACTATCTTGGTTCAAATTGGAGTTGAAGAAAATGGAGAGCTGTTTTTGCTGCTAATCTTGGCCTCCTAACCACTTTGCTTTACTTGCACGTTGGATACAGTTGGGTATAAAATGGCTTCTTTTTTTTTTTTAATTGAAGTGCTTGATGCAGTGTGAGCTCATCAGACTGCCTGGTCCAGCAGCCTTGAATACCACTGCTGCCGTGTGGTTTGGATAATTTGCGCCGACGTTCAGAGCTTAGCAGAGTTACATTCTTCTAACCTATAATCACTTCCAAGTCCAGTTTTTAATATGTGCGTCTTCCCAACCTGAGGTGCACCTTTTCCCTGCAATCACAAGAAGCCTGTCTTCCTCCTGCTCCATCATTCTGCTCACAAGAACAAGACTGTTTTTGCTTCAGCTGGAGAAGGATCTATAACTCTGTCAGCAGTCAAACCTGGGAAGGAGTATCCTGGGACAAGGCTGCAGTAGAGCTAGGAGACGGTTAAATTTAGCCTGGATTTAATTGCCTCGTTTGTTGGGCTGGAAGTGAACGTAGGCGATGACTAAATTGATCTTTCATCAGCTGAAGCTGGCAAGAATACATTCCTGTGCAACGTCGGAGTGGTAGGATTGTGTTGCAATTCCAATCTTGTTTTGGGCAATGATTGTTGCCATTTTATCATGAACATGCTTGTTTTCACTTTGCCGAAACAATATGCATCGTATTAATGCTCACTTTGATGGCTGTAGTGCACATGGACTCGATTAATGAAGTCTTTTTCTTTTCCTAGGGAGAAGAACACAAACTTCTTAATCAGCAAAAGGGGAGAGTGCTGAGAGCCGTCTGCACTGCAAATATCCATCGTTTAAACCATGTATAGAAAACATTAATCTTTTATCTACTTTGCTAAATAAATGAGTTTTTGAAAGTTTTAATATACCATTTATCAAAGAAGTGAAGTTGTCTTGTGAGTTTTTAATGCTCGTCTCCCCCCCCGAATAAGGACTTCACTGTGTGCAGGCTTTAGTAAAACAATTTAACCTCCTGGTACCTTCTGTCCTTGCCATACCTGGCATAGTTCCCCAAAGTTGTAAGAAGGAAATAAAATCCTTTAGACAAGTCTTAAACTATCACAGCTGAATGTACGGAATGTGCACGCTTCAGAACATGAAAGCTTACGTTCGGTGCCGCGGAGTTCAGGTGTTTTTGGACGCGTCTCTTAAAGAGGTGTCTAAGACTAGTATGGGCAGGCCTCCGTAGTGAATATCGACTGTCGGGTGGTCCAATTTCCTCTCGCTTTCCGATAGTCCTGCTGTCCGAGGTAGTTGGCATCTGCAAAATTGTACCTGTGTCTGTACCCTGCTTCTGTTGCAGAGGGCAGGGGGCTGTGACCCTTCCCAGGAATGAGCATTTTTCCTTTCCTGGATTGGAGTGTATGCCGTCTTGAATACAAGAGCAGGCTTTGTACAGTGTTAAGAACTAAAGTAAAGTCTTGCAAGTACTCTAGACTGAAAGAAAGTCTTCTGGGAATTTTGAATCTGCTGTCATGCCCCGTGCAGAAACTTATGGAGCTTTTTTCCCCCCTATACTATAATTTCTAAAAAAACAGACGTGGTACAAGAAGCCCACAATGCAGCACGGACAACCGTGCACCTTTAACACCACTCTTTCACGGTGTTGAAAAGAGTAGAAGGGGATGGGCCCAGCTGGTGTGCCTGGACAAGTCCTGAATTCCCCTGCAGGCCCATTAGCTGTGATTTTTATTGTTTTTTTTTAACATCTTTCACTTTTACAATCTTTCATTCCTGTGTGTTTTAAGAAACGCAACATCATACCAGAGCTGCAGAAAAAATAGTGTGACCTGTTTTTACTGATTATTGAGCAGGTAGCACTTGTGTCTTGTGTGCAGGGTTTAGTGAAACAATTTAACCTAACCCTAATGAAATGCTTCGAAAGGCTGGTCATGAGGCACGTGAACACAATGGTACACAAGTGCTTAGGCCCCCTCCAGTTTCCATACCGGCGTAACGGGTCCACTGACAATGCTATTTCCCTGGCTCATTTGTATGATAAAGACACATGGCAGAGTGCTATTCATTGATTATAGCTCCACCTTCAACACTATAGTTCCATCCAGACTGGTCAGAAGCTTAATGATCAGCACCTCTCTCTGAAGCTGGATTTCGCATTTCCAGCTTTCCTGCTGTCTCCCATGCTGACTGTGAATATAGGTGCCCCTCAGGGCTGTGTGCTTAGCCCCCTGCGGTTCTCCTTATTTACCCATGATTGTGTGGCCAAGCAACTCCAACTTCATGCACAAATTTTCCGATGACATCATTGCCTGATTCACCAGTGATGATGAGATGGCCTACAGGGATGAGCTCAGGAACCTGGTGCCATGGCGCCCTGACAACAATCTCTCCCTCAACGTCAGCAAAACCAAAGAGCTGGTTGTGAATTTTAGAAAGCAGGGTGGGGACCACACCCCTATTCACATTAATGGGGTGGCTGTAGAGATGGCCAGAGGCCAAGTTCCACAGCCGAAACATTGTTTCCTTTCTTCTCTTTTCACTATGGAATGAACCTCTACTTGTTTTTGAAGTTGGATGTTGTTTAACTTGCTGCTGCTGCTGTTCTGTGTTCATGTTTTGGTGTTTCCATAATGACCTTGTATCGGGGCATACAGTACATGCAAATAAGCATTTTATTGCACTTGCGCATATGACAAATTGAAATGAACTATAATTTAACTTGTTGTAATAATTTTGAAGTAAATGCATATTCCTCTGTACACTTGGTTCTGTAGGCAAATCATTAAGCTCCAATGCAATGTTGCATGCCTGTTTCTAAAATGTGTACACTATGGGGGAATTGCTTTCTAAATCATGTCAAGTATTTTATATGAATGTCACTTTCGCCACTAAAACGGCACTAGAATTGCAGTTTATAGCCTCTAAAACAAATTGGTGTAAAATGCTTGCTTATGTCCACTGAAGTGATTCTGCAGCTGTAGGAGTATAAAATAACTTTGTTGATCCAGAAGGAGATGTGAACAGCATAAAAAACAAGGTTAGTGTTCTGATTTAGATGTATTGAAAGTGTGGTCCTTTTTAGGAAATAGGACCGCTTTAAAGTCTTGGTCTGCCTAGATGTTTGCCCATCCAGGAATGTTAAAAAAACCCTTTGCCAGGACATAATTAATCTAATACAGTCTGGCTGCAACTGGTCCTCTAGAGATGATAGTAGCCTTCAGAGAAGAAAAACAGAACACGGCCGTTTTCCTTCTCCCCTGAAAGATAATTTGTTTTAACGGCCTTAAAAACATGTGGAAGACTGGTACTTCGATTTCAGAAAAGAAACGTGCTGCGGGCTGTGTGGATGAGGGGATAGTTCCAGATTGGACTCGGGTGCTTGGTGCTTCTGGGCATTCTGCTCCATTTCTCTTCATGGGAACCGTCAGCCTTCACATGCCTACTGCTAAACACAAGCCCCAAGCCCTTGCAGAGGAATATTAGCCCAAAGTGAAAAGTATGGCATGTAGGCAGGTTTTGGAATTCTGACAATTACCTCTGATGTCATAATCCTGTCCCTGCCTCTCCTCTGGCTGTTTTGGCCTCTGGATCAAAAATGCCATTGTTCAGCCCAAACACTGAGTGTGCATTAGAGGAAAAAAAACCCAAGCCAGAGCAATGTACTTTTGTTTTCCCTTTCCAACTTGAAACAACCGGAATGCTGCGCTTGGTAATGCTGAAGCTGGACTAAGGAAAATGAAGTAGCCACCTCTGTAGTGTGTGTGAGTGAAAACATGCCCTGGGTTAGAGTCCATTGTCGGGCGCACAGTACGAGCAGCAGCTGAGCTAGTATGTTTCATGACTGATAGCCAAAGGGCAGCTTTTGGGTCAACAATGCTACACTGATGTGTTGCTTTAAGCAGGCTTTCCATTTGTAAATCTGGCAATTTAGTGTCGAGGTACAACTTTAGGATCTGTAGTCTGGCACGCCTGTAATGCCAGTGCCTGCTGTAGTATTTCTCCATTCTCTTTTCTTCACAATGTTGCTGCACATTTTTCATTTTTAAAAGAAGGGGATGCAGAAAATGGTCAAACTCAGGACTTGATGCATTTATTCTACTTTCACATTTTATTCTAGCCGTTAATAATGACTTCTGAGCATCTGACTAAAAATAATTTGTGTTCTCAATTTCTTTCAGAACATACGGACATCACGAGAGAGGCAAGGACAGGTTGCGTTGCAGTAGTGTTTTGAAACTCACCAGTAGATGCTAACACCAAATTGTGGTTGTGTATGAACCACAACAGTCATTGAGAAACTTAGTCACGTTAAACCACCAGGCAACACGTTAACAAATGTGTTTGGTTGGGTTGATCTGTGGCTAGGAATGGTATTTGTTCTTTTCAAAGAAAAGAATCCCCCCCCCCAAAAAAAAGAAAGTGCACCACAGATATTTACACAAGTGTAAAAATCAAACAGCAGTTTTTGTCAGTTGTAATGCAAGTTGATTTTTTTTGTAAAGTTCTACAAAAACCCGTCTCATTCACAAGGTGGAGGAGCTTTTGGTTCAAAGACCCACTGAATAGTAACATCCCGCGACTATACAGCGACAGAGAAAACAGGCTTGCTCTGAACCCAGCCCACAGAAAACCAGTTTCCTATGCAAACGACAGTCAAAATACTTCAATCACAAAAAAAGCAAACTAGTCTTTTACAAAAATTGCATGACGGTTAGCAAACACTACACCACATCACTGAGGTGAAATTACAAAAAAATGCACTATATATATTGTCCATCTATACAAGTAGTAAATAAGAAATAGGTATATTTCTTCATCTCACACCAAAATATAAACTGAGCAGTGGTTCCACACAATTAATAAAATATGTTTAAATTCAAGATTTGTATACATTTCTTACAATTCTTACAATTGAAAGTGTAGATATGTCAGAAAAACTTTATTATATTTTTTTATAATAAAAAGACTATTTAAATATTTGGTGCTATTAATAAATTAAAAAGACTAATTCCATCATGGAAATTTTGAACTGTGGGAAAAAGAAACCACTGACCCCATTTTATGAAAAATGGACAGAAACTGTCTGCCTGTACTGAAACACAAAGCAGTTTTTTTCTAGAGATAAATGCCTCAGCTTTTTTACACAAGTTCTTATTTTGGGTCAGCCAATAGAAAACTGGATAAATTAATGTAGTGAAAAGAACAGTGCAATTCATTACAAGTTCAATGTAATTTCAGAGTCACGCAGAGCACTGGAAATCAGAATACTCACTGTATGCAAATTGTATCTGAAATTACTGTGATATAATAGCATGACTGATTAAAAACAGCATGAGTGCTCAATATCTGTTCTTTACATTTCAGGAATCTTCATCAAATATAATTGTATAAGCCTCTTGAATCATTGTGTTGGTTGTTTGGTCCAAGCAGTTACAGTGGGCTCAAGGACGGTGATGAAAATTAACTATGGCGAGACTGACCTCTGGTGGGCATCTTATGAATACATTTACTTCTGTTGTAAGACTTGAGGCTTTTTATACTAATCTGACTATTGGTTTTGCTTTATCTGAATCTGAGCATGTTATGAACACAACAGGCATTACATTCATCCACATATACATATATAGATATATAGTTGCTTTAAACTCTGCTCACGAAAGCATGTTCACATGCCCTGATCTGCTTTGGTTTTTAACTTTCATTAATTGGGATGAGAAAGAACTTCTGTTCAGTCCTGATCCAGTGGGTCTAAACCAGCCCTCTCAAGATTAATATCATACAGCCTGTAGTTAGATGTTAATTCTTCTTACTTGTGAATAAGGGTTTTCTTTGGAGGTTCTGTCAAATACATGGAATTAAAAAGACTGTCTTTCATAAGCATTGGGTTTTAGGAGGAGTAACCTCCTTTATGATCTGCGTTGTGATATCTTTATGCATTGGAGTTGGAACTGATTTGAAGCTGCATTTTCTGCTTAGCTATATCTACAGCTTTGGAGGTGGAACTGATGTTAAGCTGCATTTCTTCTTAATTATATCTACAGCTATTTTTATATATATATACACAATTAAAATAAAAAAGAATTGAGGAGAAAACCTGTTATATCTGCAGGAAATAGTGCAAAAGCTTCACCCGATAAGGCACCTCGAAAATTACTGGTCTCCTTCCTATCAAGGAAACAAATAGGCACAGACAGATACTGTAGGTCTGCCGCTGTCACTGACAGAGCCTGACAGTGGGCAGGCTGGACTTGTGCTTGAATACGTCCCCACTGTGCTCAGCGCCTCTGGCTTGTCTCTTCAGTACGAGTGGGGATACCTGCTGAAGTAGCTCAAGCAGCATGGTCTGGTGTCACAGTTTCGTTTTTCAAACCTAAACACTCTAAACCTCTTACTCGTCAATGTTCTTTACTGTCAGTCAGAAAGGATGCAAGAGAAAAATGTTCCACCTTGCTCAAACTCGAAAAATAGTTTCATTTCATGTTGCACTCAGTGCGCCAGACTCTGAAGCGTGCAGTTCTTCTAGCTTGCTGGCGTGAAACACACCCACCACCAGCTCAGAGACCTCAGGTAGCAGAAGGTAATCGCTTTTAAATAGAACCCAAAGAAATCCCACAGCAAAAGGTAGGAATCCAGCACTAAGAATAAAACAGAAGACCCTGCAGCTTTTTTCTTTTGACATGATGTTAAATGAAGTATGTCCAAAATACAATTACAATCACTTGAGGACTTTTTTCAGCACAGATGTGAGCGTTAGGGTACATTTCCAGGAGTTAATTTGCTTTGATAAATTTTAATCTGAATCATTCCTGAACCTTACCCTTGGTTTGAAACAATGAAGCATGGTGTAGTTTTACAAACCGTATAGAGAATCTGAGAATTATATAAAAAATTATTCGGGACGTGGTTAATTATCCACTACCTGATAACATTTTGGAAGAAAAACAAATTCCGAATCGGAGGATTCTAGTTCAAGATGTCGCTGGTGTCGAGTGTTGCTTGAGTTTCTCAAAAGTAGTTATTTATATTTCTAATTCTTGTAGTGTGAAAAGTATTTGTCCAAACAAAGAAACAGCTTTTGTGTGTGAACGCATGCTATCCTAAAACCACGTTCTATGAAAAATTTAAAGGTTTTCTGATCTGTTTCCTAAAACGTCACTTGAATAGGTTCTGAATGTTCTGAATTCTTCGACAGTGCCCTTATCAGTACTGCACACGAACGTTAGAGCAACATTAGGGTCCATAGGTATATTTAGTACAGGAGCAGAAGAGGCATCTCACCACTTCAGCTAGTTGTTACATTAAACAGGTGCACATTTACATCTCAGTACTGGAAGCAAGAGTACATGCCTTAAAAAGGGAGGCTGAGAAAGTCTGTGTTGCTTAAAGGAATAGAACGTAAGAGCAGACTGCTCTGCTCTCAGACAGGCCATCTAGCTAGTTTTTTAATTAGAAGCTCATCGATCCCAGGATCCCATCCAGCTGTTTCCCAAAAGGCCCAAGGCTCTAAAATAGCTTAACAGCTCCTAGCTCCACACTCCCACAGCTCTTAAAGACGTGAAGGGTAGTGAAGATGCGAAATCTCTACTCAATCCAGAACTGAATCTGGAATGCTTCTGTTCTTATTAACCTAAATGTGCTTTGGGGTACTTATAAAGTTCCCGGGAAAGCTGTTTTTAATCACCCCAAATTACCAACGCTACAGTACAATGAGAGACTAGAAATGTTCTGTTCTTAAAACAAAAACAGAGAGATTGAATTTTCTGTCAAAAGGCTGGGCTCAAGGGATTATACTGTATCTTCAGAAGTACTGTACCAGAGGATGGTCTTCTGCATTGGTAGAAGTTTTTTTCCCCATCTTAGCTCTTACAAAAGCCTTTTTTTCCTCCATTCCTTCTCCATTCTACCCACTAACTCTTCATTACACAATTTTGTAATGTAATGGCGTGATAGCACTCCAACGCCCAGACATCGAATTAACTTCAGTTCTTTTTCGAACTAGTCATGATGTAATTGCTATGACGGGTATTCGCAGGCTTAAAAAAAACACTTTTTACCATTTACTTGAATTACATTTATGTGAATGTGATTCACAGGCTGCCTTCCAGGCTGAGGAACTGCACTTTAATTTGGCTTTTCCTTGTCATGTGTTTCTAGATGGGCTCTTCATTACTGTCAGAGAATACTGTATGTCATCAGCGAAGAAGGCAATAACAGAAAATAACACACTGAAAAATACTTCATGTATTATTGTGCACTTAATTTTGTCTCTCATATGATATGCGGCAGATAACCCTGGAGGGCTTAAAATACCATTTCCACTGCTGAAGACTGCAAATTAACCAAGTACCAATACCTCTAAGCACCTGCTGCTTATATTCATCATACAGCATATTGAACATGATTGTCATATTCTCTCCTGGAAAACACCACGAAGACTACATGCTTTTATATCTTCCGGTCAAAGGCACTAGAAACTCACTCGCTCTCACCGAGCTGCTGCCAAGAGCCTCACCGACAGCCCGCCCCTGTTCAGCATCTTCTCCCTACCCGTCCACAGCAACGAGGAGCCGGAGGGACCCCTGGAAATTTCTACGGGCTCTGAGTGGGACATTTCCTGGGTTATCCACTAAAACGCAGGGTGGACAAAGCAGACGAGAGACAGGAGGGCAGTCCTAGTTCCAGATGAGACGGGGCTGTGCACCAGGAATCCTCACAGGGCCACTGTCCCGCCCCGTCACGGCCTGTAGATCTTAATCACGTCCTTAATGGTCCGCCGACAGATGGGGCAGCAGGAGTTGCTCTGCTTCTTCAGCTTCAGGCCGCAGTCGTTGCACAGGCACATGTGGCCGCAGGTGTAGATGACCGTGTCCACCTCCTGGTCGAAGCACACCGTGCACTCGGCGTTCTTGCTGGTGGGTGGCGCCACCTCTGGGGGGAACACTGGGGAGACCGGGGGGCTCAGGGGGGAGCTGGGGGCCGTCACTGGGGGAAGACAAGCAGCAGGGAGACTGTGATTACTCATCGGGCGCACAGAAGCCACCAGGTCTGACTGCGGCGAGCTTCCTGGCTCTTCAGGACCTGGGCTTCCTTCTGGGGGATTTCAAGTTCACAATGAGCCTGTTCGACTGCCAGGCTGCTGGAGGAGGGATAGAATATTTATACAGATACACACACATGTGGAGTTATTCAAGTGTACACATCTGTAATCCAGAAAATGAGAAGGCAGCTTCAGTGAGGACTGGAAATGGTTCATGCTGAGTTTGCAAGATATTATCCCTCCATCCATTTTCTAGCTGCTTCATCCAATTCGGGATCATGGGGGTGCTGGAGCCTATCCCAGCAAGCATCAGGCACAAGGCAGGGTACACCCCGGATGGGACGCCAGTCCATCACGTGGCAGATACACACACACTCACAACTCACAATTTTCCCAGAAACCATTGGGGCACAGCAAGCGCTGGGAAGACAGGGAGGGCTGGGACACAAGGAGCACTGGGATACGGGGAGAGCTGGGAGGACAGGCAGACAGCACGGCTCACCTAGAGAGGACTCCGAGGCAGAGGAGGAGCGGTTGACACTGAAGGCCAGGTCTGAGTCGCTGTCGTCAGTGCTGCCCGCCGGGGAGTTGGAGAGGGAGGCAGGAGGGAGACTGGAGTGGAGCGTCCCTGCCGAGGAGAGAGACGCTCGGAGACGTCAGAGACCTCGCGCGTCACGGAACCAAAGAGTCTGCATTTGTCATGAGGAAACGAGTCTTATTCTCGGCTCGTGGAATGGTAAACGTACCGAACTGGAGTTTCCATGGATAATGATTATTTTAATTCACGTATTGAGCTTGTGTATTTGTGTGCATCTAGGCACGCCGTGGACAGAAAGACTATACAGTAGTCCGCCACTGTAAAACAAGTCACTGCAGAATTGTAACGATGCATTACTATAATCGGCACAAAAATGGGTCAAACAGCCTCCTCTCATTTGTATCCTTTTCCTATGATCTTTAGTTATTTTTACATTGACCAACAATAAGTATGAATGACAGAAAAGAAGCAGGCATATGTCATTAAAAATCACATGTTTCTTTAAATAGATGCCCCACAAAAGCCCAGCGTGTACTAGTGAACACTTACTGCATTATAGGGGATGTTAAAAAATAACACTGCAAGAAGTGCAGCTGGATGTTTACGAACATAAAATAAAAATGACAGATGTGCCTCATGGGAAAATTGTGCAAATAATGTGACCTGCTGGTATCTGCACTTTGTTTTTCAATTGGGAATATACAGTATCTTAAAGTTGTGTAGGCAGAGTTAGACGAAAGCCTGCAATTACACGAAAGGGGCTATAAAAGAACGAGAGCTGATGAATACTAGACCCTGATTTTTTTTTGATTGGCAGAAGAGAAGAGAAATATATACAGTATTCATTTCAAACGTACTGGCACCTCTTGTCTAAATTCAACGAACTCACAAAGAATCTTTACCACTGCTTGACATGTGACATAATGAGCTGCGCCCATTATGGCGCCACATTACTAACACGGGCTGTTGTTGCCTTGGGGAGAGTTGCCTCAGAAAAGAGTGACCACAATAATATTTGTTTATCTTTTTGCCGCATAGTGGAACTGAGTATCTCTAGTCTCAAGCAATGGTAGCTACAAGGGGATTTGATTTAAACTGCAATTTCTAAAAGGCACTGAGAAGGTCACTGTGATTACCCTGAGCTCAGCAGTGAAACGAGCACAGAGGGTCGCGAAAAGGTACGTAGGTTTAGGCTGGAAACAGGAGGCTACAGTTCTTGGTTCTCCCCTTCAGCCAGTACTGAAGGTGGGGAAGCTTCTAGCCTCTCCGTTTCAAAAGCAAAGCTGAAAAGCTTTTTTTTTTCCCACACGTTGCAGATTTCCGCACACTGATTTCTTTTTCTTTCTCTGTTGTAAAGGCTTAAACGACACATACGGGGCAGCAGTGCGGTTCAGAGAGGGGCCGGATGCCAGCGTGACTGGTTTGGTAACGGTTAGTGTACTGTTCTGACATGTCACACACCTGAAATAAACGGCACTCTCCATTGGCTTTGCTTCAAGTTCTATTTAAATCCCTACAAGGCCAGCTGCCGTTCAATTTGTCATGTTACTTAACAAAAAAACGACCGAGCTGTCTGCGGAGGTCATTGGCTAGCCCTGCCTCTGCAGAGGAAGGGCAGTGGAGAGCAGGGAGACATGCAAGACCATTCGCCGTTCCCCAGGGGACCAGACGGGCCCCCACCGTGGGCCCCTGTGACTAGTGCCCCTCCTCCGGCCAGTCCGCGCCGGGACGTCAAGCTGAGCCACCAAGGCGCCACCCGGGACAGCGCGAAGAACGGTTTGCCACTTCCGGCCAAGCCAGGTGAATATGTGTGAAACGGACCAACCGACGCACACACACACACACACACGAGCACAAACACGGAAAGAGCCGATGTCAAATCGTCTTTCGGTCTCTGCCGGATCTACGTACCAAGAATCCTGAGGTGGCTGACGGCTCCTTGGAGGCCGAAGAAAACCCACAGGACCTGGGACGAGTCCACGCAGAGAAGCCTCCCCCGGGACGCCCCGTTCAGGCCGTGGTGCACCTCCCCGCTGGGCAAGAGGGTAACGCTGAGGACGTCGCCCGGGCTGGGCATGGGCAAGCCCCGGTATACCACCCAGTACTCCTTCCTGTCCACCAGACACTCGGGGTCGGCGGGCAGCTCGCCGGCCCGCAGGGTCCCAGGGTTACAGGAGGTCATCCCGAACAGGAGCGCCCCGAAATAGGACTGTCCGTGGGGGCCCACTTCCACAAACAAGGTCTCCCCCACGTGGAGGGGCCGGTCGGTGAAGACCAGGGTCCGGGTGCTGTCCAGGACGTGGGCGCAGGCGGCGGCGCGGTCCGGCGAGAGGCCGACGTCGGACCCGCGCACCGGGTGGAAGCGCAGGTCGGAGTCCAGGGCCGCCCCGAGGCCCCGCAGCAGGCGGCCCGCGGCCGAGGACGAGGACAGGGCCGGGGGGGAGCAGCAGCAGGCGGGGGGCTGGCCGCAGTGGCCCAGCTGCAGGGTGGCTATCTTGGCGGCCGCCACCTGGTTGGTCTCCAGCTGGTTGTTGCTGTAGTTGGCAGAGTCGTGGCTGCTCTGCGGGAGGTAGCTGCTCAGCCGGGCTGTGCAGAGACGGCTCGCGCCCACGCTGTCTGCGACCGTGCTCTCTGAGGGGGACAAGCGCGAGAAAGCAGGGCGTTTCAGCCGCGTGCTTCATCTGCAGGAATGAGCGTCAGATGAAGCACGCTGCATCTGCATGGGGCGACAGGCGGAGATCAAGAAAGGCAGCAGATTGTGAGGCAGGTGGGCGACCTCACACTGTCAGACCTCACAGGGTATTTAGATGCTGTCAAATATGAACTATTCTAATGCCGTAATTCAAAGTCACAGATCTTTCTATGTGCTCAGTAATACACAAAAACAGCTGCTTTTATTTTATTCCCTGGTCAAATTTGTTATCGCATCCAAAGTGATCCATTACTGGACCCCAGTCCATAAACGTCTTGTAGGGACCTCTTGGAATGACCAATCCAATATTATGCACAGTTAAGAATTTGGACACTCAGATATTCCCCAAAGTTTAGCATGCTCGAAGAACTCTGACTGACTGCTGAGACTAAAATCCTGGTGGACTGATGATTTTTAATGAAGCCCACAGCTCAGTCCTCAACAGAGTCGAGTCCGAACAGTCCTTGAGACTGGCCGCTATCTCAAAGATCTACTGGTACAGGAGGCAGGCCGACGTTTATCTGGACTTTGTGGGTTCCAACTTCTACTCTGTGCTGGAAATGTTCATTTTAAGACGAAAGACAACTCATGACCGACTTAGCTCCTAACCACAACCTTGTTCGAACCTGTTTGGTTTTTTTTTTACCACGATATTTCACACATTCCCAACACATGCAAATTCAAAACCTTTTCTCTGCTCCTCCCGCCTAATTACAGCGGAGGATTAGCAATGCTAGAAACATTTTGTTTTTGAACAAGGCGAATAAAAACATCCAATAGAGGGGCTGCCCTGGGTGGCTTTAGTCACTGGAAGCACTTTAGGGAGATGTTGTGATTTTACAGCAGTGCAGGAACAGTTAAAGATCTGCAGCCAACATTACCAAACATGGTCAGCACTCCTGACAGACGGAGGATAAACAGAACTGCAGAGACCCAGAATAGGGCCCCCTGTCTCTATTTCCCAAGTTGGAAAGTTATCAGTACAATTTGTGTGGCTAGTGCCACAGTGTCTTAATCCTTTGAGTGCCTATAGCTCTGATTTATGGCTCAGCGATACAGTCAGCAAGACAGCAAGCATATAACCTCTTTTACCTTCTGTGGAACCATAATCTGCTTCAGTGTCTAATCGGGGCTCCCTCTGAAACAGCACTGTAATAAAGTCACGCAGTGGTGGCCCTCACCAATCCATTCTGATGGATCTCAATGGGCTCAGAGGCTCAACTGCTTGAACAATTACTACCGCCCAACTTTAATACAAGTCACGGGTTTTTCTATGTCGTCAGCGATATAGAAAAACGGCTGCATTAATTTTATTCCCTGGTTGAACTGGTAGACAATCTCAACAAAAAGAGATCCGGTACTGGACCCCGATCCACAACCGTCTTGTGGGGACCTCTGGGAGCGACAAACCAATGTGATGCACAGGTAAGAACTGCAGCCCCGAAGCTGGGCGCCAGCGGAGGAGCAGCTCACCGAGCAGCGTGACCTCCTGGGTGATGCCGTAGACGTCGACGATGGCCCACAGGGGCTCCCCCACGCTGAGCCCGCAGTGGAAGAGGACGGCCTCGCCCTCGTTGACGCTGTAGAAGACGCGGCCGTGCCGGTCGGCCCAGAAGGCCAGCACGGTGTCCCTCAGCGCCAGGCGCTCGGGCAGGGCCTTGGCCCAGTAGCCCGGGCGGGTCACCAGGTCCGGGCAGGCGTACTTGGGGATGTCGGCGAGGCCCAGCTCGCCGGGGTCCGCGCTGGTGAAGCCGAAGCGCAGCGCGCCGCTCCAGCAGCTGTTGACCTCGGAGAGCCGCAGGCGCACCTTCTCGTAGAGCCGCACGGGCCGCTGGCTGAAGGTGATGCCGTTGCAGAAGCTGCTCTTGCGCGTGGCCCGGCGCAGCTGGGGGTCCAGGCGGATGTTCCGGCCCTTGGCGTGCGGGTGGAAGCGGGGCGCCTCGGTGCCCGGGCCGGGAGGGGGCGCCGAGGCCCGGCGCTCCGCCGTGCTGCTGGGCAGGGTGTAGTACGGCCTGCTGGCCACCGGGCGGGGCTGCAGGCTTGCGTCTGTCATGAAAAAAAACGGCAGCTCAGACTGTCACTGTACACAAGAAACCTCAGGTGTGAAATACATGGAAATTGACGGCCCTGTGAAAACTCTTCGTTTTCATTTTCGCTAGTTAATTCCACGTAGCTTTCTCTTGAACTGTATACGATCATCCTGCGCCCCACCTCACAATCCAACTCTGGTCTTGTCGACACGCTATGGGGGACAGGGCCTTCTCCTGTTATGCCCCAAAGCTCTGAAACTCTCTGCCCAAGAATATCAGAGAGTTGCCTTCCCTAAACTCCAAACCTTCTTCTTTAGAAGAGCCTTTACTGAACTGGTTCTGTTCTTTACCCCTCTGCTCCTGCTGTATTCAGTACCCCCATCTGCCGTCTCCTCTCACTGTGCATATCTGCTCACTCTCATTGTGCATATCTTGTGGATTTTGTTTTTACTGTCGCTGTTGTCATTCTGTAAAGCGCTTTGAAAAGCCACCTTTAAAGGCGCTGTATAAAATCTCTAGGCCTTATTTAATTGAATCCCAATGACCTGTGCTTTCTGTCACCTGACACAGCCCGGTGGCTCCTCAGAACGCAAGCTGGCACAAACAATAAACTGAAATAGTGCATTTTGGCAGCGGTGTGTTATAGGTAGGATCTCTTTAAAAAAAAAATCCTGTCTGATTATGCAAGATGGAACCTTCTAGAAACACCAATGCATTTCAAGATTCAAGAGTCGAGATTCAAGTTGTGCAATACCTTATTGCCAGCTCTGCTAAGCTGATAGGAATTTCCCTGAGTGCAACCCAATAAAAACAACAAAAACAACACATCTTACACTTACACTGACCACATTATTCAATCAGTCAGTCTAAGGCTCAAAGTTGAAAAAAATTCCATTCGATTCCATTTATATTTAAACTTTCTCCCATACGATGCCTGCATCCATGGCCATCTACATGCTGATCTGTGTGAAGGCCTCTAGGCAGGAGCTGTTTCAGAACTGAACAGGACTACAATGGAAACTTTGAAGCCTCCTCCCCGAGGGGAGAAGTTTTGTGTAAATGATCTTCTGTCAGGAGACCTCATGCACATATTTATTACAAATTGAAGATTTTATCTACTTGGCCTGTGGCTGTGACCTCTGGCCTATTTGTTAGATGTTTTTCTGAGATCCAGTGAGCGAGCACATTCTTCCTCCCCATGGCCCAAGTGAAGGAAGCATGTACAGTAGTAAACTCGGGTTTGAACGCTACGGGTTGCATATCTCTGCTCAAATCATTGCTTTGCCTGATAGATGTTCATGTCAGAATACATGGGAATGTCTGAAGATCAGCAGCAAGGTCCATTAGCTGCTGCTCGAGTGCCTGAGGAGACGGCAATCAGCCGTGATTGAGCTCTGACGATCAGACTTGTTATATATTTGTAAACTAGTTACATAAGCAGCAAACATTCCTTGAGGCTAAATACCCAGTAAATGGCAGGCACTGTTTCAACATAGTGTTTTAAATGCGGTGGGAGGCTGGAAATGACACACAAATCAGACAAATCTAAAATCAAATCTGAATTCAACAAACACTCCCCAATGGCCACAAAGAACTGCAATTTGATTTTGAAGTACAGCTTTCAGAGTAAAACGCAGCAAAACATACATATCATTTAAATTTCAAGATTTTCATGGCTAGGCTTAAAACTGATAACAGATGACATTTATGTTTTCTACAGCCGGGTGTATGATTGCAAGAGAGCACGCATTTAAAAATGAAATGACTCCTACAGAAAAGTGTAGTTCGCAGTGGGGAGCACTAGAGGTCGCCAGAGCACAGAAACAAAAAACTTCTGATTCAAAGCTTTCGCACCCTCCGGTACTTTGTGGAGCCAAATTAGCACATAGATGCGAGATGTGATTTGCTTGAATTACCAATAGTAAGTTTAACTTATTTACAAGGAACAGCGCTCAGCTCTTATGCTGCATCAGAATGATCGAAAAAGCACATTTATATGCAAAGCACAAAGATATAAAAGATACATTTTATGATCAATACAAAATTGGTAAAGTACCCAAAATAATGACATGATATATTTATAAATATACAAAAAAGGTTGTGTTACATTAGAAGTTGATTACTTATCAAGATCAATGTAATGATCAAGAGCCAATTATTACAAGATTAAATTTGAAAATTAGATGATTGTCTAATGCTAGATAGTATTGTATCCCAGATGCCAGAAGCTTTCATTGAAAGTGTTAACTTCAAATTCAGAGGCTCTATAGATCTAAGATCTAAGATCTGGGAATACAGAAACGATTTATTACAGAAACAGTCAGTGCTATAACACATTTCAAAGGAGGAGGACTAAGATTTGTTTATAATTCACGAAACCAGAAGGCATTTGCACAGTGGCGCAGTGGTTAGCATTGTGGCCCGCAGCACTGGGGTCCTAGGTTCGATTCCTGGGGTGCTGTCTGCGTGGAGTTTGCATGTTCTCCCCGTGTTTGTGTGGAGCTCCTTCTGGTGGTTTGGTTTCCTCCTGCAGTCAGAAGACATGCTAGTCGGTTAATAGGCTTCTGGGAAAACTGGTCAAGGTGTGAGTGTGAGTGCCCTGCACTGGACTGGCGTCCCACCCAGGGTGTATCCTGCCTTGCACCCAATGCTTCCTGGGACAGGCTCCGTGCTACATGACCCTGAACTGGACGTGTGCTTATTGAAACCGAAGTGATGTTTCTCAGTTCAGATGTGCACTCTTGTGGGAAGAATTAAAGTGTTCTGCTAAAGCTGAGCCGCAGTGTATAGGAATGGGATCCCAATCACAACGCATGTACTACTATCCTTAAATAGTGTGGGGTTTCGAAGATCTTTTATACACCCGAAGAAAGACAAATCATTTAAACCAACTTTTTTGATTCCTCAAGATTATGTGTGCATTTAATCATGAGGTTTCGTGGAATTGCACAGACAATGACTCAAACTGCCAGCCCTGAGTGGCATGCTTTTCCTATGAGCTGACTGCTCAGTACTTGCGCAGTCCAGACATGACAAGTACAGTATTTATTTCCTTATTAAAAACTTTCTGAGGCTTGAAGTTCACTATTTCAACATCAGGGGGCACTGACACACTATAGATGCTTTTGACATATACATACCTATACATTTATATTCAAACCTAATCCAATAGTTAAAATGTTTATGCAAACACACCTTTACTTAATAAACATATTTTACAAGAGCCTACTTTACTTTTCCTGTGGGTTTAGGCACAGTCAGCTTTAGAAAACTATATAGCGTTACAGAGTTCAAAATAAAATATTTGTTGGTCCGACTCTGTGGGCCTAGGATTAATGTCTCATCTGAGGCAGTGTACTGTGCATCCTACAACAGTCTCCCTGTCAGAATACCGGAGGACTGGCTTGGAAATTGCAGTACAGATGGAAGAGCACCTCCTACTGGTCTGCCAACGCCATTTTTCCCTGGAGGCCTCCCATCCCGGTACTGACCAGGACTAACGTATGTATGAAACTACTGCAGCTGAAAATCAACTTTACGTTACATATAAGCGGAGAACAAGTAAATGATTTGAAATCACTGAAACAGCTTGAGTGGTGGCTGGCTTCTTTCTGTCCTTGGCCTGGTTTCCAATAGTTACTAGCTAGGAATTCAGTGCTTGCACTTTTTTTACATGGCTACAGAAAAAAAAAAAGCGTGAATCATCATCTGTGAAAAAGATCCGAAATGGGTGCATTCAGAAAGGACAGCTGCACTCACACACCTACGTGAAGCTTTAAATCTGAACTAAGCAACGATGACGTCGGTGGCGCCCTCGCCCAACTATTCCAGTGACACAGTGTGCGGCAACGCAGGAACTCCTCATTGCAGTACAAAATGTCACTCAATTTAACAAATGAAATGCTTTTACAATGATTTCAGACCACTCTGAACATACTGTAACGCTGGCTCCGATCAAACCAATGTTGTTCATGGGTGATTTCTGACACCTTCATCGCGCATTCCATCTCTTAGGTAGATGACCTCAACAGAGCCCATCATCTCGGATGTCGGTGTGCGTCTTGCCTTTGTTTGCCTGTCTGTCTCAATTCAAGGAAAAAAATGATACAACTGCACTTGGCAGTGTGATGAAATAATTCTCTTCAATGCCCGTTTGGAAATACCCCCCCTATAGACAAGCATGAATAATACCTGTAAACGGGCAGAACTGACTGTGACCCTGAGTATTATCATGAGTGTTGGGAACTCTGTTAACCCTAAATTATTCGGGAACTTTGTTTGGGTGTGCTGGGGCAAAAAGAGCTACTGTATGGGCGTTGGCAGCAACTGAAGGATTTGACCAACAGACCTGCAGATCGATTCGGTCCCTGGTGTCTGTTCACTGAAAGAAACAAATCTAAGCGCTCATGAGGAAAAGCAGTGTACAAGGTGTCCCTGACAGTATAGGTGTCACGCCCTCTGTAGCCAGAGGGCGCTCCTTCTCTGTCCTGTCCCTAGTTTCCGGTCTGCTGTCCTTCCTCCGGTGTTTTATTTCCGGGTCTTGCACTCTGTCCTCGCTCAGCATTGATGTTCGGATGTCCTGAGACCCGCCTAGCACCAGGGCGCCCCACGTCCGCTCCCTGAGGGCATAGGTTTCTATATGGCATTCCTGAACTCTTTGCACTTATGAGCCCGGGCCTTTTTCCCGTCTCGCCGCTACGCATTTGGGTCTTTTTCTGCTCTCCTGCTCCCCACGGTTAGTCCCTTTGGACGTCCGTGACAATGGGTCCCTTTTATCTTGTGAGCAATGCTAGCATTCACCCACTGTGCACTGTGAGGCAGGGATCACCTCTCTCATTTTCTCAATTCTCTGGAATGCATATCACCCCTCTCATCAAAGCGGAGGGTTCTTTATGTCTGTAGTCTGTCAGGCAAAAGTAATAAGTAGCAAAATACAGTTAAAATGTTTGTTTCATAAACAAGCACAGGCACTACTGAAAGCTGCTTCCATGACCAACTTAGGAAAACCAAATGCGA